GACAAGATATAAGTAATCTGTAGGGCTCCCATATCCTCTCCAGGGGTTTTGCTCTCCCCAAATCTCTATGTGTTTACCAAGCCAGTGGCTTTCCAAAGCCCTTGCTTTGGCTTTTGATGGCAGCCTCATTATTTAGGCTGGTTAAATTATTGGCCATTGTCAGTTGAACTCTACCTCCAGGCATCTCCCTGCCCCAAAGGTCAGGGAGTGGCACCAGATGGTCCACCCCTCTAATCATGTGGTTGGTTGTCCAGGCAACCAGCCCCACCTTCAGGTGCTTCCTCAAATATCACCCCATGCACATGGCAAGACATCTTTGTCAATCCCTACACTTAGTAAATTCCAGAGAGTTGTGAACCAGGAACTGTGGAAGACCAAATGTATATAAAGCATATATTTTTGTCATTTGAATGACCAAGTGCATAGGTCATATAAGTCAGAATACTGCATAGGCCTATTTCAAGAGCCTCAGTCACCACATTTTATCTTACAGTGTGTGGGGCTGTCAGGGGCACCCCATTTTAGAGAGAACTAAACCAGGGGTTCCAAGGCACAAACAACCTTGCTAGGGTCCCACAGCACATAAGTATCAGTGCCAGACTTTCTGTCTAGACAGCTTGGCTCCAAAGGCGTTATTCCATTCAGTGTTTGAAGCCGGGAAAAGCAGGGTGTCACTGGGCAGAATTTATGGATATTGTCACCTCCTCTCACTTTCCACTCAAGCTCTACTATCAGGTTCTGTGAGGCCAAGCTAGGAGCAACGTGCTGCAGCCTAATTTTGTCTCTGGAGCTTTTGACTGTCACATAGGAAAGACGAATGTGTGTCAGGCAGTCCTGTTTCTACCTCCCCACAATGTGTAATTTCCCCGATGTGAGAGGTCCTATTGCTTGGAGGTTTCCAGGGTTTGCATTCTTCATAAAAAGGGCAGTTTATTAAGCATGGAGGTGCCCAGAGGCTGCAGCACATGAATGTTAATGAAGTTCATTCTTCCTCATATAATGAGTATCCTAGATCAGCATCCTGGCTTGGCAGATGTGGGGCGTGTGTGGGGGGGTGGTTGTGCCTTTCTTCTCTCCCCACCCACTGGGGTTTCCAAGCCTTTAGTGACCCATCTCCAAGAATCAGTTTAGAGGACATTATTGTTTTGCTTCATTGCACTGTTGCAACCTGGGGACCAAGATGGTGGTCTTCCCCTACAGACCTGTCCTGTTTGGGGAGCCCCACCTGGGAGTCCTGCTCTGGAGTCTGCTAAGAGGCTGGATCTCTGCTCTGTCAGGGATTGGGGGCCTCCAGACTGTGCATCAGGCTGAAGCAGGGGTGTTAGCAACGTGGGCAGCCACTCTCCTCTTACCTTTGCACAAAGGAGGTTCATAAGCTCACCTTGTCTGTGGGAACACTGGTGGGCATGTCTATGTCCCAGTCTTGTGGGCCGCTATGCTGAGGGAGGCTAAAGGTGTTTACTGTCCCTTTGACAGAAAGAACAAGTTTGGATTTGGGGCCTTTAAAAACAAATCAAGGTAAAATTCACATAGCATGAAATTAACTACTTTCCAGTAAATGATTCAGTGGCATTTAACGCGTTGACCATGTTTTGCAACGATTATACTACTCAACTCCAGACATTTCTGCCTCCTACCCTGAGCTGCAAGGAAGCTGTGATCCTCTTAGTGGTCATTCCTACAGCCCAGCCCCAGATCCAGGAAAACACTAGTCTGCATTCTGGACATTTCGTCTTAATGGAATCATCAATATGTGGGCTTTATTGTCTGGTCTCCTTCCTTCAGCATGTTTTCAGGTCCATCCACACTTGAGCAACCACCTCATTCCCTTTACAGCTGAATACTATCCAGCTGTATGCCTAGATCACACTTGGCTTATTCTTTCTTCAGTGAATGGACAATTGACTGTTACACTGTTTTTTGATTATTAGAAAAATGGGACATATAAAATGCTTTATACCCCTGCTCCAGACTCCTGCAGACTGGCTGCTGCCTGGTCCTCTGTATTGGTGGGAAGTGTCTTGGGTGACCTCCTTCCTTATAGGAATTAAATTCTATCTTTGGGGATCCTCAGTACGTATATGTGTCTTTGGGGGTACCTCTTTCTCAGGTTTTGATCTTCACTGACATCTCCATCTCTCCCCACTACTAGGGAGTGGGTCCAGTCCAAGCTCTGCATCATCTCCCCATTCCATCATCATCCTAATTCCATGCTAGAGACTGGCACAGGTGCAACAGGCTATTGCTGAGGGCTTGGGGAGCAAAGGGAGGGAATGGACAGCACACCATTGACAGTAATTCAGAGCCAAATTTTCCATGTCACTGTCTAAAAGGCAAAACACCTTTTCTAGGTACCCTCATGGCACACTAACAGCAAATGTGTGGGGTTTTCCATACCAAGCAATTTTGCACTTCTCGGCAGACCCTGAGAGGATGTCCAACCAACCATTTAACTTAGCTCTGATACTCACTGCCCAAGCATCAGTACTTGGTCTCTCTCTCTTTTTTTTTTAAGTTATTATTATAGTTATTATTTTTTTATAATATAATAGTTTATTTTTACATCATGTTGTGCATTTTTTTCATCTCAATTGTATTCCCTGTGGGTTTTCCATCACCAAGTCAACCATGTGCCATCCCCATAGTCACGTGTACTTCCCCTCCCACACCGTTTTTGATCCCATTCCCCACTGCACCCACACAAAATGTCTCTGGTATATGGCTGTTCATTATTCTTATTATTTTCTCACTTGGTCCATTATATTCCTGCTATGAGCGAAACCATCCAGTATTTTTCTTTCTCTTTCTGGCTTATCTCTTTAAGCAGCTCAATCCAAGTTGCTGCAAAAGACTTGTGTTTCTTTTTTTTTTTTTTTTTTTTTGGTTGCTGAGTAATATTCCATTGTATATATGTGCCACATCTTTTTAATCCAGTCATCTGCTTTTGGGCATTTGGGCTGCTTCCATGTTTTTCCAATTGTAAATAAAGCAGCAATAAACATGGAGGTGCAGGTGTCTTTTTCAATCGGTGTTTTGTGTCTTTTGGGTAGATACCTAGGAGTGGGATTGCTGGGTCGTAGGGAAGCTCCATGTTAAGCAGTTTGAGGAACCTCCAAACAGTTTTCCATAGTGGTTGTACTAGTTTGCATTCCCATCAGTGCTTGGTCTCTTGAGACTGCCCCACTTCAGCGGCCAGCCCAAGTCTCAGGGTGGTCACCCTTAATTTTGAAATACTGGCTGTCACCAGAGAGTTCCCACACCTTCTCTTCAGGTTTCTTAATTAATTAGGACAGCTGCCAGCACCAGAGGAAGTGCTTTACTTCTGCTTCCTGATTGATCATGAAGCACATTTGAAGGTTCCTGTGATGGATGGACAGGTGTACAGGGCCCAGAGTGGTCTGAGCAGGTGTGCATAGTTTGGGATATGCCATCAAGCGAGCTTGCACACCACCCTGGAAGTTTTTCACCTCTCTGAGACCCCATGGTAAGGTTTTATATATGCACACACACACACACACACACACGTGTGTATATATGTATGTATTATGTCTACATATACATATATGTTATGTGCATACATATATATATACATATTTTACATAATTCTTCATTTTTTACATTTTTCCATCTCAATTGTAATCCCCTTGGACTTTCCACTTCCACTTCACCTGTGTGTCAGCACAATAGTCCCATGCGCTCTTCCCCCCAGTTTTGATTTTGTTTCCCTCAAACCATCTGTAGAATGTCTCTGGTTTATAGTCATGGTAGGGTTTTTATGGAGTCTTAAGCACTTAGGCATGATTGATGTTACGTCACTGACCCCTCCCTTTCCAGAACCTCAGGGTGGCACCAAAATTTCCAGCCTCTTCTCACTGATTGGCTCCCTTGGTGACCAGCCCCCACCCTTAGGGGCTTTCCAAAAGTCACTTTATTAACATCAGCTCAGGTGTGGCTAGCAGGGGCTTGTTATGAATAATAGAAGGTGCCTCCTTCAACTTTTTGGATCCCAGCTATTTCAGGATCTGGGCACAGAAAGCAAATATGATAACAAAAGGCCCTCCTGTCATGCTCTTAGCACTTAAGAAACCACATAGTTAATTATGAAGGTTTTAGGAGCTCTGTGCCAGCAACTGAGAAGACCAATATATATATTGGTCTCCTTTCCAAATCCCTCCCAACTAGTTTTTACAAGCCATCCCATTTATTTGGGGAAAAGAGGACTCCTGCCTCCTTGACTCTGAATGATTTAGAGATCATTAAATGTTTTTTTTAAAAAGAGAAGGGATGTACCTTGATTTGGATTTTTCAAGGACCTCTAGGGATGCCTTGTGCTGACTACACCTTAGGGGTCAAGGCAATGGCTTGTTTGGAAGCTGTTTTGATATTGCAGGTGAGAAGCCCATGGTCTGGCCAGAGTGGAGATATCAGAGTATGCTCAAAGGTAGAAATGCTGGGTTCTGTTGGTGGACTGAATGTAGAATATGAGTCCATGGATGATTCCCTCTTCAAGGTAGTGACTACAAAGGTGGATTTGACATTTCCTGACATAGAAAATTGCAGGTGGAGCAGGCATGGGGAAGGTAGGAAAATGACCTGATACCAACTGATGTCCAATAATCAGGTGACGTTGCAGAATGGGATTTGGTAGTGCAGTGGGGACGGGAGTGGTGGGAGGCAGAGGCACAGGAAATGATGACTTAATCATCACCCAGGTAGCCTCACATTTAACAGGAAAAGTAAATAGGGGGGTGGAATTACATATTGGGCCCAGAGGAACTTCAGAGGGTATCTAACAAAAGAGGGAAACTGAGGCCAGGAGAGCGCAGGTGATTTTCTCAGCACCACACTGGAAGTTAGTGACAAAGCCCTTTCTTCAGGCCCTGGCACTCATTGCTCTTTCTAACACACAGGCAGCACATCAGCTCTGGCGTCGAAGGCAGCACATATGAATTGAAGACAAGCAAGTTGAGACTGGGTAACTTAGTCTTGTTTTCTTCCAGGTCACCATCCTTGTCAGCCTGGCCCTCGCGTTCCTTGCCTGCATCGTGTTCCTGGTGGTTTACAAAGCCTTCACCTATGACCACAGCTGCCCAGAGGGATTTGTCTATAAGGTAAGGAAGGGGATCTTGGCAGATAAACAATGCCAGGTGACTGTCAATGTCAGTTAGAGGGTTTTAAGCATCAGAGTTTCATTAGCATCCAACTTCTGGGTGTCACAACCTCCTTGCAGCTGTTGAAATTGTCCTATATACCTGGCAAGGAATTTTTCAGGAGGATGGGGTCTCAGTGGACAAGAATTCCTTAGGCCCTGTGGTGCTCTCTAGAGTGCTGCAGTCAGGTGGGAGTCTGATTTTCCACAGCAGGTCAGCAGTGAGGGAGAGCTAGATTGTACTATGTTCTGAAGGCTCTATTTTGGTCTGGGTCTTCCTAGGACAATGGGAGTCTCCTTGTCCTCACAGTGGCCTAAGGAGATAAAAGTATGGGGAATGGGTATTTCTGAGGCCTCAGTTCTGCAGCTGGGCCTATTTCCTCTGATCTGCTTTGACTTTCTGCAGGGGAGAGGGACCTCCTGGCTCCTCTGAGCCTTAGCTTTCTTGCCTACAAAGTGGAGGCTGATAATACATATGGAATTTTTGTGAGGTCTTATAGAGAGTTTAAGTAAAATCAGTTGGTCAAGAGTATTCTAGACAAAGAGCTTTCAGCACATGTTAGTTGTAAAAAAGATAGAACCTGTTATAGAGCTAAAACAGGTGATATTCATATTTATAAACATCCTTTCAAGAGTCTTGATGTCAGGATTTTGTCAGGCCTTTTACTCAAATTACTTCAACTGAGCTGTTCAGCCACTAACACAAGATGGGCTTTATTGTGCTCACCCTAACCCCCCACCTTTTTTTTTACAACTAAGGATGGAAGTTAAGAGAGTTTTCTAGGACATGAAATTACATTCCAGAGGTGGGCACTCAAGCAGGGAATGTTCTCCCTTAAAACACATTTTGGGGGGAGGGGTGTTCACCACACTACTTGCAAGGATGGCTTTCTTTGCAGTAAGAGCTGTGGTTCTGAAGGACTGACCACAAGGATCCCTGAGGCACAGATGAATGAACTCTGAGTAGCCACACAATGGGTGTCTACATAGTGGAGAAAGTAAGCTAGGAAGGTCTTCCTCTTCTCCAGGATAATAACAAAGAAAAAAATACCTTTGTGTGAGGAACAGGGGAGGTGAAGGATATTTGCTTATATTTTCAAAAAGACACCCTGGAGGGATACATTTTTAAAAAAAACTAAGAAAGATGGTTACTCAGCAGGGAAGGAAGGGGAGAGTGGAGGGGGCAGGATGAAGGAGCTGCCTCGCAATGTATCTTGTTATATAGCTGTCCTTGATATATGCAAATTTTGACATACTTAAAAAATAACAAAGAAAGTAACTCTCGAAAATTAAAAACAAGTTAAACAAAGAACCTAGCTCTCTATCAAGTTGTAGGCATAAACTCATGGAGAAAATAAATATTTCAGATGACTATGGAGCATGCGGTGTTGACTATCCACCCTCAGTGGGTGCGTACTTAGGGCAAAGGGGGCTGCAAGGAAATTTAAAGCGCACTCAGTTGTCTGGTAGTTACAACATTGTGTTATTTATTCTGTGACCATATTGTAAGGCAACGCAAGTATACCATATATCGTAAGGTAATGCAAGTGTACAGTTTTAAGAATGTTAGGAATCAAGGTTTTTTGATATAGAAGAAAGGAGATTACAAATATATAGTTGAGGAAGCAAAATGAACAGCCCCTGGCTTGGGGCAGTAGTCCCGGGAGCTGGTGACGCCGCCCGATGAAGGGCAGCTGACAGGACGCCAGTAGACAGGTGACAGCCATGCAGTGGGCAAGTGGAGAGGCCAACCTTGAGTTTCTATCAGTGTGGCCATGTCTTCTGGCTCCAAGTAGGTCATTGTGGGAAGGGCTGCCCAGTGCCAGAGCCAGGGGTGCTGCCGCCTGCCCTCTGGCTGAGAGCCTGGTGTGGCTGTGGCCTCCCACGTGGTGGTAGAGTCTTGGGGAGAGCAGGAGGTGGCCTGGCCCTGACTGTCTCTTTCTTCCCCAGCACAAGCGCTGTATCCCGGCCTCCCTGGATGCTTACTACTCATCCCAGGACCCCAACTCCAGAAGCCGCTTCTACACGGTCATCAGCCACTACAGCGTGGCCAAGCAGAGCACTGCCCGGGCCATCGGGCCGTGGCTGTCGGCTGCTGCTGTCATCCATGAGCCCAAGCCGCCCAAGACCCAGGGCCACTAGAGGCCCATCCCCAGCCAGAACGGGGGGTGGAGAGGGGGACCCCTCTTGGCTGAACCAAGCTCCAGTTACAAGACAACACTGTACTCCCGGGATAGGGGGGCGGGGGTGGGGCTAGGGGTGAGCTGGGGGGGAGGGGGGAATCTCACCGAAAATATTGTGCACTGGAGTTGTCTGAATCGATATTTCTTTTTGTCCTTTGGTGTTGTTGCTTCGTCCCTGAGTCAGGCTCATGTACAAAGGCATGTTATGTGTTGATTGTTCCCATGTAAGATATTTTCAGCGCCACTGCTTATTCTTTGTTAGGAATATTTTAGAACAGAAAAGGAAAGAAAAGATGAACTGGCTATCTCTGGAGGATGCTGGCGGACACTCAGGAGCTCTCTGGGCTTCCAAGATGAGACACTGGAGCTTCAGTGTGGGAGGCGGAGGGCACAGTGGATGCGGGCCACACACCCTAGGGATCTGTGGGTGGTCTCTAGTCTGTAGGCTAGGAATATGGGGAGTCAGCACCCCCTGAGTCGAGGAGAAGGACTGATTTCAAAGTTATACAACCCAGGGTAAAAAGCACCCGGCCTGCAAGGTTAGCACAAACTCATCCCTGGGGGCTCCTGAGCTGGTTTCTGGCCAACAGGCAGCCCAGGGCTGTGACTGGATAAGCAAACATTAAGCATCAAGCATCGGGCACTTGTTTTTGCTCTTTTGTGTTTCCCAGTCTACATCTACGTGGACACGGGACACTCCCCTGGTGTAGAAAGTGACAGTTGTAGAAAGGAAGAGCGAAAGGAGAGGCTGCAGAGAGAAGAAAGGCACAGGCGGGCATGTGACATTTGACCCAGGTATAAGCACAGGCACTCAATTTTGATGTTTTTGTTCATTTGTTGTTTCCCAAAGTGCTGGTAACGATCTGCAGAACAGTTAAGAACCGTAGCCAGGAAGCTCAGGGGATAGCCAGGGAGGCTTTAAGCTGGGGACTGCAAGGATGCCAAATCATTTCAGAAGGAAGCCGGAACACGGGACGGTATTTTGGTATTTTGCCCACTCTTTGTATTGACAGGGGACATCGTCCAAACTCCCCAATCTGGTTCTAGAAGCTTCTGACAAGCAAGGGAGCATTAGCATTTGCCAAACCTCGCACTGCCCTGGAACTCTCACGGTGCCCTCCTGCCATTGTTTGGGGGAGGCCGGCTTGGTGGGGTCTCGCTCCAGCCCCAACAAGCCCAGAACTAGCTGGGAGAGTTGATTATTATGGATGTGATAGTTTCCCCTTGAGGCCCCACCAGGTCATTAAAGGGCATGGTTCTGTGGCTTGCTATGTTGGCAAATCATTGTACACAACAGCTGGGTGATAACAAGCACAACTCAATCTGTTGTGCCAAGTGCCATCATCTGACTTTTCCTCCCTGCCCCGTCCCCCATCACCTCAGTCACCTGTAAATTCATTTGTCACTGAAGTGGAATAACAAAACTGTCCCTAGCAAAACCGCTGAACGCTTTATAATTTAGTGGTGTATTTTTGTCAGTAGGTAGCAGAGGCTGAAGTATTTTTTTGGTGTAATTCTTGAACTTTTCTGACAGGAAACAAATAAAGATAGATGTGTCTGACAGCCTCGACTTTCCTTTGCAACTTTGCCTGCAGCTTTATGCCCCGTGTGGAAAGTATAGAGCTGGGGCTCCCAGAGACCTGGGAAACCCTGGGGACAGTGTCCTGTGAGGCTGGGGCTGGAATTGGGCTGTGAAGGGCCTTAATCCTTGGGGCCTAAAATGGCGCTGAGGTCAGAGCAAGGGCAAGAGATACCATCAATTACTTGAAACACTATGCCTTTTACCAGTGAGGTGAGCTCTTCAGTGTACCTGCTGAGCCAGGGCCTGTGTCCAGCATCCAAAAAGCATACTTGCCACTCCTTACTCCAGAGATGGAGTCAGGTATGAAAACAGACATTGGTGGAGTGAGAGTCTGAGGCTGTTACTGTGTGACTATTTGATCATTCACTAACAGATTAGGGAGAAAGATGATGGGTGAAGAGGTTGTGCAGTGATACAACCTTTTCACAATTGACTCACGGAAGGCTTATTATACCTTGGGTGGGCAGGGGTTCTTGGCCTCCATTTCACAGATGACAAGACTGAGGCTGAGGGGGAGGATGAGGTGGCCGAAGGCTTAGCAAGTAGACTTGAGTTTGAATCTAGAATGCATGACACATTTGACCCCTGAGACTGTTTCTGTATGATCCCAAACCAAGCTGTTAAAGTCCAATTCCTCAGAGAGCCAAGTCATGTTTTAAAGTAAACTAACATTCTCAGCCCACACTCAGCTCTGAAAACAGCCCCTTGCTCCCACTACAAACTAGGTGTTTGCTGTGTCCTGCTTCTGGGGGAAGGCACACCCCTTCATTAACATCATGGTGGCCCTCATCATCACCCCATGCTGTGGTGGAGGGAAGGAAGCAAAGCCCAGCAGTTTGCACAAGGTCAAGTGGTTCAGAAGTGACAGGACCACAGTCCAACCCACCTGTTCTGGCACTAGCACCTTCTGCCCAGGGCCCTTCAGCAGTGATCACTTATCAATACCTGATTTTGCTGCTTTTTTTAAAAAATATTTATTTACTTACACAGAGGTGCAAGGGCAGTGAGCAGATTCGCCAGAGCCAGAGTAGGCAGATTGATGAAGTACACTGCTGAGGGGAGCAGTGGATAGGTCAGGAGAGGTCTGCGTGCCACGTGAGTCACCTTCCAGGTGGGGATCAAACTCGCACTGAAGCAGCTACCTTTAGCTTGCAGTGCTGTGCTTTAACCCCCTGCACCACTAGGGAGGGCCTGGTTTTGCAGCTTCTAATTAGTATTCACCATGCTCCTGCAACTTAGAAGGTGGGCCATCTGAGGAGGAGACAGGGTCAACTCTGGGCAGAGGTGGAGGTTGGGGGGCTCCAAGCTGATCCCTGTGCTGGTGTTGACTAAACCCACACGACTGATGGAAAGGGAGGGGGAGACATGGCTCCCATCTCAGCCAAACCTACAGAGCACCATTATGTCTTGGGTTCCAGCAGGGATCTGGGTTGTCAACTCACTGGCCAAGCAGTCTGATCCATATGACCAATGAGTAAATACCCATGACTTTTCAATTACACAAAGTCAACTGAAACATGTTCAAACATTCTGTCATAAATGGATTTGCTATTCATTGCCTCAAAAAATAAACCAAAGCTATCTTTTCTCTGGAAAGAACAGGCTATGGGGATGTGATTGGAAAGAAGAGGGAATAAAATGGATGGGAGATGTGGACACATTTCTGTTTTAAAGAGAAACCCTGACAGGGTCAGAGTTTTCTCAGAAAAAAAGGAGGCTACCTAACTTCCTCCCACCATACCCAGGAAGCAAGAGATTAGTTGTAGAAGAAGGGGAAAAACTGAGTGAATTTTGCTGATGGGTCTTACAGAATGCTGCTGGCTGATGGTAGGAGGTAGGGCAGGAAATGATGCTAAAAAAGCATCAAGTTGCAGAGCGGCTCTGTGGCTTGTGCCTATTTTTTAATTCTTCACCAGTACTGGAAACTCTCTCCTTGGGGACTCATTCGTGATGGGGAACTAAGACAGCATTGAAGGTATGCTGCCATACACAGAGGAGGTGGGGTGTGAAATCTGAGCAGAGGACATGTCAGCGAAGGGCAGTTGGGGTCCTTGGAGGAGCTGACCTCAGAATTGCTCTTGAAGGTATGTGGGTTGCATTTAGATGGGAAGAATTCAGGACGGTGGAGAGCAGCCTCCACAGAGCCATTCCGCCAGCTTAGTGAGCAGTGTCATCAAGATGCAGAGAAGAGATGCCTGGGCTGCTCCTTCAAATGCTCCCAGGATGCTCCCCATGCCAGGGCTGGATGCAAAGACTGCAAGAGCACTGGAAGCTGCTGCTCCTCAGGGGCTCCCTCCAGGCCTGGGGGGAGGTAGAGACAGAGACAAATCTCCATGGGGAAAAACTGATGGCCAGTGACAGGGTATTTCCAGGTCAGGAGTTATTTAGGGAGATACCCATTCTTTTCTGGAAAGCTGAATGACCACCTGTCAGAACTGCTGTCAATCACTCAATGGGCTCTCTGCCCCTCCTATGGGGGAGTCATGTGGGAGAAGAAATACCTCTTCAATTTTTTTCCCATGAAGCACGCAACACCATTTCTTTAAAAAAAAGTGTAGAGGGTAAAGGGCTGGTCTCCATGGCAACATCAATGCGAGTCCCCATAGATCAGCCTGGTACTGCAGGGTGTTTATCTGATTCTGCCCTTTAGTAAGAAATGGTCTGCTGCCGAGATCCAGATACCCAGATCCAGATACCCAGAGGCAGCTTCTCCCCCTCTAACCAACCCCCTGCAGGAGTATTTTGCTCTGTCCCCAATCTTTCTTGGTCTGTTATTTCCCAGCTCTGCTTCTCTGTCTCTTTCCAGGGGACCATTGTCTGGAGCTTGTGGGCTTACTTGAAATCATGTGTGTTTCTCTTCCTGGTTCCCAGTGTTGTGCTGGGTATGGGGTGGGGTGCCTGGCAGCCCTGGTCAACTCCTTTCTCTAAGTTTCAACATTCCCCCATCTTTAAAATGGGGGTGCTAACCATCCTCATTTTGTAAGAATTCAGTGAAATAATATTTACCTAGAGCAGGTCCTCAAGGAGTTGAAGCTATGCTACTTTGAATAATTCTCTTTCTCAGATTCAGCTTCTTCATTTGTAAACTTGAATTGTTTATAAATAAACTTTCTCTTGTATGGAATTGCCATGGCTTACAGTAAGGTGGTGACAGCGAGGTGCCCACACACAGAAATTGATTGCCTCCTGCCTGCGGTAGGCAGCTCACTGCTACCTGCTGGTCCTTTCCCGCCAACCTCCCTGATTTTTGCTGCCACACATGCCAAAACTAAGGGATAGATGTCTTCTTTGCCATGTGTCTACTAACAGTCTTTAATGGCTAAATTTATTTCCACAAGTACATCATTTTTTTTAAAGATTTATTTATTTATTCATACAGAACTGGGGTACAGGCCAGAGATGCAGAGGGTGAGAGGATTCACCAGAGACAGAGCAGGGAGCAGAACAGGCAGATCGATGAAGTACACTGCTGAGGGGAGCAGCGGCAGGTCAGGAAAGGTCTGCCGCGCCATGTGGTCACCTCCAGGGCAGGCGGGGATTGAACTCATGCGGAAGTAGCTTAAGCTTCTTAGTGCAGTGCTTTAACCCGCTGTGCCACCAGGGAAGGCCCTGTACATCATTTTTTAATGATAATATTAATTTAAAATATTGCTTTGAGAGCTTTGCCACATTTCCCAAAACAAAATTGATCAAACTTTATAAACACATTTAAAAATGAAGCTAACATACAGGCTTTAGATTTCAGATTTTGTCAGTTTTCCAATAAAATCCTTTCCCTTGGGATCACATATCATGTCTAGTTTTCATTTTGGGGTCCTCTGATATGTAGCAGCTCTTTAGTCTTAACTTCTCCTTTACAACCTTACACTTTGAAGATTACTGGTTAGAAATTGTGTGGTTTATTCCTCAATTTGGACTTGTCTGATTTTTTTCTCAGAGAGGTGGGGTATAGATTTGAGGGTGCACGAGATTCATCTGCCTTATTCCTGGTGATGTTACTTTGATTCTTCAGATTAGGTGCTGTTTGTAGGTTCCTCCATAGTTATGGTAATATTATCCTTTTAAATAAGTAAAAATATGGGAGAAGTTACTTTGAGGATGTGCCAATATCCTATTTCTCCTTATACTTTCATACACTAGTGTTGGCATTCTCAGTGACTCTTGCTTGTACTAGTTATTATGCTCATGTTTTATAAGCTATTTTCTAATTCTCCCCTTCCTTCTTCAGCTATTGGTTGAAATTTTTCTATAGGGAAGAGCTGTTCTTTGACCTTTATTCTTAAATCATTTATTTATATTAGTATGCACTCACTGCTATTTATTTATTGTTTCCGATATAAACAATGACTGCATTCATTTTATTGCTCAAATTGTTTCAGTTTTGTTATTGGTGACTTTCTCAGATTGGCTCTTCTGTTCTTTTGACACAACTTCCCTCTCATTCTTTGTAAGATACCATTTTCTGATTCCACAAGATGCTTCAGACTCATTGAATTTTCCCTCTTCCAGTCTTAGAGTCCACGATGTCTACCAGGAGTCCTAGTCCTTTTCATTGAATGGTATTTAAAGCCACAGTCTGCATGCTAGGTGTTAACAGGCGTGTCACTGCTTATAGATAAATAATCATCAGTTTTCTTAGTGTCTCTGAACCAGTGCAATACCAAAAGATTCTTCCCATTAGTCCTTCTTTGCTTATGTGTAAGTTCTTTCTCTGGCAGGAGGCTATACCTTTTCTTATTCACTCATCTCTGGGATATAGTCATTTCTTTCTTTCTTTCTTTTTTTTTTTTTTTTTTGCTATTTGGAATATTTCTGACATCATATGTTTTGAATTGTTAACTTTTTTTTTTTTTTTAGAATATACTGATATACTGTTTTTGTGTTTGGTTGTTTGGTTGTAAGGACTCACAGAATCCTTCATTTTTCTGAAGGCTTGATTTTTTTGGAGGGACCAGTGTATTGTGTTATAGTTAAACTGAGT